AATTTAATGTCTATTTCAATATTTTTGATGCTCAGAGTAGTGCAAATGAGTCCTAATATTTCAAAAATTTCTCGGGGGTGACCCCCCGAACCCCCCCAGCGGGAGGGGGCGACCCCCTCCCGCACCTACCCCCCCTCGGCGCTTCGCGCCTCGGTGAAACCTTCGGTTTCATTCTTCGGCCTACACGTTACAATAGTCCTAGCTACGCCCCTGGTCATAGCTACATGTAATGTTATCAAACATAGTTTGTCATCATCAAAAATAAGGAGCACTAAAACATAGAGACTTGAGCAAGTCTATAACGTGTCTGGAAAAGATTGATTGATTGATTGTATATTGTTTAACGTCCCTCTCCAGAATATTTCACTGATATGGAGACGCCACCATCGCCGGTGAAGGGCTGCAAATTTAGGCCTATGCTCGGCACTTACGGCCTTTGAGCAGGGAGGGATCTTTATCGTGCCACACCTGCTGCGACATGGGACCTCGGTTAATACGGTCTCATCCGAAGGACCGCCCCATTTAGTCGCCTTTTACGACAAGCAATTGCAAGGAGGTACTGAGGACCTATTCTAACCCGGAACCCCAAGGGGCGTCTGGAATTAGACGAGGAAAGGTAGACGACTTACCAATGTTGGAAAGTGAAGAAATTCTCCCAAACAGTGCGCAAAAAATCCGTAAAGGCTTTCTTGAATTATACTGGATCTATAGCGGTATGGTCAAAGACTAATACATGTATATAAAACCATAACACTACAGTTCTGCAGCGAAGTTATAAAGTCACAGGGACTTGCACCTGGCGTGTAAAAAATATCTATTAAAAAAAAACAAACGAGGTGTAGTTTATAGTATATCGTTTTTTTTAATTGATTTTTTTACACGCCAGGAGCAAGTCCCTGTGATAGAGTATTTCTTTAAAGTTAATATAGTGAACGAAAACAATTTCGTACTCTCAAAAATAGTCTTGCTATCGGAGGCGAAAAAAGGAAATATATCAAAGGATTAAGGCTGTTATTACATAAAAGAAATAAATCAAATAATTCATGAAATTCTACGGACGACAAAAATCCGGTGCACTTGTTCGTCAAATGTAAAGCATCGAGTATGGTGTAAAGAAGAGGATAGCTAATCGTGATCATATAAGTCAAAATAATGATAAGAAGCATTACTGACATTGAATGAACGATTCTTACTCCATTTTGTCTTTCTGATACTGGTAGTTTGCGTAAATGACAAACTTTTCTCAAATGGAAATAAACTATCAAAATAAAAGGGACGCCCGCTATATAAATAGCAAACGCCAATTCACTCCAGTTTTTTGCACGTTCAGACAAAATATTTTCTAGGAATAGTATTTGTTGCACACTATATACTCCAGTCATTATAAATGAAAATATCCATATTATCTGACAGTGCTTCATAATTTTTCTAGAACTCATTTTAAGACTTTTCAGAGGCATTGAAATAAAAATATAGCGGATATATGAAATATGTGCCGTATGGAAGTTAGCGGCGTGTAGGAAAAGAAAAGTGAAAATATCAAATACAGATTGCCTTGGGGGAATTTTAAAAAATACGCTTACAGGATCGGGTAAAACCATAATATAGCGTGACGTAAGGGCCAAAACGTCTGCAAATGCCAAGCAGGCAATTGCGGTGTAGGTCGGGGTGTGTAGTGTTTTAGTTTTGATGATTACCAATAGGGTAGTGATATTTCCAATAAACCCAATCAAGAACAGCATGGTTCCAAAGCTAAATACGTGTTTGTCCCAGTAATGAACATTCAATAAAGAAGCATTTTCCATACACTGAAATGAATCAGCAATTGCGGCATTGTTTTTAGAACCGTCTTTTCCAGTAAGATTCACTGAGTGGCCAGTAAAAGTGTTATTATTAGGAAAAGTTACGCTTGAATTTTCCATTTCTATCTTCACTCTGAAAAAGAAAAAATTGAATATTAAGTAATTATAATTCAAACAGATAAAATTTAGCGATTGTCTGTTTTACAATGAATCATTTTTAAAAATAAAACTACAAAACTTTTTTAGGAAATTTAAATGGCTTACGAGGGCAGAAATAGCAGCTGACGTCTCACAAAATCTTTCCCACTAGAGAAAAATCACAGCTTCACTTCATTCATTTAGGCTACAAATGATAAAATAGTCAAAACTACACGGCTTCTAGAGCTGATAATGGTTGACAGTTTAGTTGATCCATTAATTCTGCATGATCAAAACAATGATTGCACTAACAAAACGTAACCCGGCCCCGGTAAATCGCGCAAAAATAAAGTAGCCCCATGAGATTAATGAAGCAATTCTTCTAAGTCTATATCACAATTTGTCAGAAAGTCAGAAAAAATTACAGAGTCGAGGCTGTGTTTTGTAAGAGGGGTCACTGTGCACAATTTACGAATCCCCATTGATACAATAGTATTCAAAGTTATTCTGATTTTTTAAGTTGGATTACATGGTGAAAGCATTGTTGTCCAAATTTCTCAAAGGGACAGATGGGTGTATAACTGATAGAAATTTGTCATATTTAAAGAGAATTTATTTTGGGCAAGCCTGCGCTTGGGGTAAACATTTTGAAAAAAAAAGTACAAAACACCGACCGTTTTCTGCACTATTTACGGGTATTTACATGTCATTGGCCTCATTGTGACCTGTTACGTTTCTATTCCAATTTCATGGGAACTGCTCAATCGATTGGCTTGCGTGATAATTTTAAGCATGAACGATTTAGTGGGTGTCTTCATACATTGAGAAGCACGAAAATTAAACACCCACGAAAACTAGTTAATTAAATTCACAGTATGAAAATCTTTAAAGAATAGGGCAAACCTTCTGTGTCGTGAACAACAATTTGCTATAAAGAATGAATTTACCCTAAGCAAGATAGCGGGGTTTTGGTAAACATACATTATAATTGGTGACCAAGAGACAATAAAGAAACAGTGATATTTCTAGTATAGAGAGACATCAAATTTAAAATGTTATAAAATTACTCCACATCAATTGATTTATTTATTTTAATCAAACATGTTGAAAGACTTATTGATTCTGTTGATCTTGAGAGTAAACAGAATCATCTGTATGTTAATTGCATTTATTAGCTATTTTATGCATCATTAAAATTTGCTAGGCATAATTTTTTTTCACTTTAAGAAAAATGGCTATCAAGATCATTCCTTAGAGAAAGCACAATCTTTGTTTGCCTTCATTTAATGCCATTTTTTACTCATGTAAGATAAATATAGAATAAGTTATACTTACAATAACATGTATGTTTTAAACGTTGAATTGCCCTCGTAGAACAGCTTATAATAAATGGTAAGTGATGATTGAATGCGACTTTAATATGAATTGTTGTTCTCGAAGTTCATAAATACTTTATAGATAAATGATCCTCAAAACAAAATGGATGAACAATTTGTGGAAACGGTAAAATACCAAATTCTTTAATAATAATCAGTATTAATGTTTACTTCAATTGCAAGTAAAAAAAAGAAACTATAGAACAGAACCTATCTGTTCCAACTGTTAAAAATGAATAATTCAGAATATGTCAACATATTTAAAATCTCTAAACGTTAAAAAATCAATTGATATATACCCCTAAGAATTAACAGATCACGTCCCAATATACCATTTCAAACTTAAATATAAAATAGAGTCTTCGTGCTTTTGTTTCCTTTTAAAAGATCAACCTGGGAGTACATGCAGGTACAGAAAAAACAGGCTTTGTGAAATCGCATTGTTCTTTAATTTTATATAGCATAAGTACAGTTTATGAACTCTGTGCAATTGAGCACCGGGTACCCTCAATAATTTGAACCCATCCCACGATCTAAAATATAAAACTTCGAGTAAAATTTCCTGATAAAGTACATTTATTGCATAATGAAACATTTTAAATCAGAGGTTGTGGCCTGTACAAAATATTGAAAAACAGCTTGATTTTTTTTTTTGAAGAAAGGACAAGATAGGCTAGGCCCCTTTTATGTCCCTCGTTTCGGGTATCTGTAAAGTGTATCGATAGAAAACCACTTGTCACCCCTGTCACAAAATGAGTAGGATCTATTACAGAGAGGCCACAGGCAGATCAGAAAACATGGCAATTTCTGAATTTTCTCATTTTAATGCAACTGTTCATCAATCTTATGGCACATTTTGTTTAAGGAAACATATTAGAATACATGCTTGCCTATCTACCTTTATATTTTTCCTATACTAGCAGATGCATCTTTTGTATTAAAATTTCAGATAGGCAAGCTTGTGCTCTATGTTTCCTGAGGTGAATAATATCTGAAATTTGACAAATATCCAACAAAATAGAGAAAATTCAGGAAAACGTTCTACTGTCACCCCTCTTGTGGCGTATGTGAAAGCTTTCCTGTGTTAATTACTTTGGATTCCAATGTTTTTTATTATTGAATGACTACTTGTCATATGTAATGCATTACAGTGTAAAAATTGCATACATTTACATGTATATGTACTTCTATTTTTTGTTTAATCACCTTAAAGTTAATTGTTGAAATGTGGATAATCACAATTATAATAAACAGAGGTTTCCTAAAGGGGTACCAAATGTCACCTTATATACTGTACATTATTACACATGAGAGGTGGAGCTAACATCAATAGCATGGGTCTATAATTAAACTAGATAAATAACAATGACATGTATCAGAAACATTCATATGTCCTAAGTTTATAGTGCAGTCATCCTTTGCCACAAGGCCCCTCAACTATTAATAAATCTAAACTACATAAGTTAATCTATGTAATATTTATTTTTTTTTCCTTTTTGATTTTGTTAACATTTTCAATTTCTAAATCTAATTTAAGTTCATTCATCAAAACCCTCTCAAAATCTTCATGTTTTAAAATTGTTAAAAACATGATTTTTTTTTAAATCTAAATTTTGCCCAGTCTTTGAATATTCCTATTTACGTTGACTATATGTGTAAAAAAAAATACAAATATAATTAATGTGAACACTTTTTAAATAAAATTTATTATTCATCACATAAAACCTACAAGATTTCTAACATCCTTCATTGTGTCCTCTGCTAACACAGATGCTACTTCCTGTCCCTGTCTTAAAACGCTCTGAAGATGTGACTTGTCACTAAGCAACCATAAAATCCTCTCTCTGATTGGCTGAATTTCACTGATCACAATATCTGCTAAAAGTACCTTATATTCAGCAGTTGTCAAAGTTGAATATGTTTCACAAATTTCCTCTGGCGTTTCCCCCGTGCAAGCAGAATGAATATTAATTAGATTGGTCACACCTGGGCGATTTTCCTTGTCATAAGAAATGTGTGTGGTAAAGTCTGTGACGGCTAGTTTGATTTTAGATGCTATGTCATCATTGGAATCTGTTAGGTCTATTCGCCCTTTTGGACTTTTGTCCGATTTACTCATTTTGTTTTCTGGAAAGCGCAGACTCTTTATCTTTGCAGAGTCACCTAGAAAACAAAAAAATGTAAGGACTTATGAATTTTTTTAGCTCATATAATTCTAAGACTTAATTTTTTTACATGAAATAATTGAAAACAATTCCCAAAAATCTTTTTCCATAGCTAAGACATTGTGATTAAAGTGGTTCTATGGCTGAAAGGCTTCTTGTTTTAGACTGATTGATTGATTGTATATTGTTTATCGTCACTCTCGAGAATTTTTCACTCAGATGGAGACACCACCGTATGCTGGTGTACTGCAAATTTTGTCCTATACTCAGCACTCAGGGCCATTGAGCAGGGAGGGATCTTTATCGTGCCAGCACCTACTGCGACACGGGACCTTGGTCTCATTTGAAGGACCAGTCTCCACATCCCACAGTACCATTCCAACCCGCGACATAAGGATCAACTCCTTATTTCACGACTCCTGAGCAGACGTTAGGCGACTCTTGTTTTAGACAAACTTTATGTATACTTAAAGAGAAAGCTTCATATTATAGCAGCTTTTGAGGCTGAAACCAAATTGAATGCACTACTTCAAGAATACCAAAAATAAATCCTGAAATAATACATGGCACAAACATGTACATGTGTGGTGCTTAGTCTGAGTTATTTATGATTATGATGACTACTCAATACCCAGTGATTTCATCAAATTTTGAATAGGTTGATTTATGTACACACATATTAATCATGCTATTTGGTATGTGATGTGTTAATTTTCTTTGTCAATAGATCTTTATTTTAACAATGATCATAAATTTTGAAAACATAAAATGAAAGCCATTAAAAATGCCTATAAATGTTTAAACCTCTTTGTCAGTTGATTGATATTAGACTGTATGTTGTTTTATGTCATGTTCATTTCATTAAAAATTAATCAACTGTAACATAACTGATATCATGCCTCATAAGGCAAAAAAAAATTAATTTCTTGGTTCTCAGGCCCTCCCTCATCTCTTCCAAGGCTGCCTCATTGACCCTTTTTATTGCTAAATCAATAAAATATAAACACCAAATCACCTCCCTCATTATTTTTTGAGGTTTTGTACAATGTAAAAAGCTGCCTCATCATGTTTTGGGGGCAATAAAAAGAAAAAAAAATGCCTCCCTCCCTCATCATATTTCTCGAGAAAAAGGCCTGAGAACCAAGTAATTAACTTTGCATGGCCTAAACACTAAGCACACCAGTATGAGATACCATACACTTACCAAGTAACATTTTTGGGACTCTGAAGACTTTCCCAAATTTATTATTGAATGATATGGCTAAATCCTCACACAGGTCCAAATGTTGTCTCTGGTCCTCTCCAATAGGAACAAGGGTGGATCTAAAAATTGTTTATTAACGAGAAATTTAGATCAATAACACATCAAAGAGTATCAAGATTAACTCAGGATTTGAGTTTTTCAGAAATGGCTAGGCAATACCAAACTTTAGAAGAAAAAGATGTCTTGCAAAGGGGTATTACTCTTCAAAATTAACATATTGGCTAAACTTTGTATCAATGTTACCAATTGTAAAATTCCAAAAAAAAATATTGGAGACATTATACCGTTAAAAATACATATTAGACTTGCAAACTAATCTTTATTGGATAAATTGTCTTAATTTTTTTTTTATATGAAAATGCAGAATTTCTGTATTTTCTTAAATCTGGAAAGCCTCAGGTTTGAATTTTCTGTCTTACTTGTACAGTAAAACATCTGCTGCCTGGAGAACAGGATAAGTGAATAAGCCAACACTGGGGTTCTTTGTGTTAGATTTCTCCTGAAAAAAGAAACAAAAACAAAATTAAATCAGTCAAACAAGAAAAATCTTAGAAAGCCACCCTGGCAAGTAATTGCATCATTGTTTCAGACTGAGTATCATATGGCTCTTGATAGTATTATATTAGAAAATCCATGCGAAAAATCATCTAAAACAGATATATGTTAATTTCCTTTTAAAATATTTAAGCATCTATTTTGATATGCCAAAAATCAATAGGTTGTATTTCCATTAGTGAACTCTTCAGAATTAGAGACGCGTTTGGTTGTCTGACTGGGACAGCATGGCGTTGCGTATAATACAAAACATGCCAGTCTCGATCAAATTTTAAATGTTAAATGTATGTGTCATTCTAACTAAAGAATAGAAGAACTAAAAGACATATGGAAGAGAGTGAAAACCCTAACTTTGTCATCCATTAATAAAAATACGACATTTCCGAGGTATGTGTATTGTCTTTAAATGTACCATTGCGATAAATAGATACGTACGATCACCAATGATGTAAATTAATATCCTTGTCATCTCTACTCTTGATTTAAATAAAGTCCACAACAATAAAATATTTCATAAGCATTTTGTTTGGATTTGTTCATCGACATTCAACATGTTGTTTACATGTTTGTGTTACGTTTGTCCCAGAAATCCCGTGAGATTTGTACATAATCCAACTTTTTCACAAAAGAGCGCACTAAGAACTATAACTCTTCAATAGTGGAAATAGAACATATTAGCTTGAATTTCATCCAGTATTCAATAGATTAGACAGTGCTCATGTTGAACACCAAGGATATGCCAATGTAAGGGTACTTCCCAAGTACAGTTTCTGTTCCAATTCAACTTATCTCCAGAGCTTCTCTCATAAATACTGATTATATTTTTGGATCAGATCTACTAGATATTTTAAGGTCTTTTTAACTGAGTTTGAAAATTAATATACGTAATGTTTGACTGTATTTAGACACCCTTTTTACTGACTTTGACATACTGATGTTTGACTGTATTTTGATGCCTTTTTGACATACTGATGTTTGACTTTATTTTGGGAGATATTTTTGGCTGAGTTTGACATACTGATGTTTGACTGTATTTTAGGGTATTTTTGGCTGAGTTTCACTTACTGATGTTTGATTGTATTTTGGGGCCTTTTTGGCCAAGTTTCACATACTGGTTTTACTGTTTATGGGGGCATATTTTTGGCTAAGTTTGACATACTGAATTCACTGTATCTGGGGACTTTTTGGCTGAGTTTCACATACTGGTGTTTAACTGTGTTTTGACTTACTTTCCACTGAGGTAAAAGTTTAAGTCTAGCGTTGGTCGTGATGCAACTCAGAATCCAGCAGAGCTCAGTGTGTTGTCGCACCTACAACAGATTCTTAAGTGTGAAAAAAAAACATATCTGACTTTCAATACATGACAAACATGTTAAGCTGCAGTCAAGTACGAATTACCTGTATCTTTAATCTAGAAAATTTAAATAATCAGCAGTTTTACATTTTAAAATGTTTGATAACACCAATAAATTTATTTTTTGAATAATTATGCTACAATATGAATTATATCTTTACTTTCTTAAATTCTTTGACACACAACAGAAAGTGCAACTTTTCACAATATTCCTACTATAAACATATTAAGAACAGTTAATTACAGATCCAATAAATAAACCACTAACTCAAAACCAGATATTTACCTGTGATTGTAAAAATAAGACAGACTTCTCTGGGTCTATTCCACAAGCCAGCAGACAGGCCACCATCTTGTAAATGTTCTCCCTAGAAATACAGAAAAGTGGAGGCTGAAAATCACTGAAGGCAACACAAATCCTTAATCAGTATATCAGCATTGAAGGTAAATATGCTTGTTTCCCAACAAGGATTTAGGAATTTCCTCTCTGAAATTCATGTCCAAGTTATACATTGACGGTAATGACCTGAATTACTTTGGATCCTGTCTCACATTTAAACTGATCTGAATTACTTTGGGTCTTCTTTTTTACCTTTCCTTTGGGTCCTGCCTGACCGTGATAAACACTGACCTGAATTCTTTTTGATGGGTCCTGTGGGTTGAATTCCAGAGAATACTCGAACTTCCTCATCAGGTACACTCTACAAATCAGAGATTGGCTTTTTTTGCTTTTTTACCAAGTTATAAATATTTACAACTAATTTTCAGAGGTCATGCCATCTTAAATTAACCATTAGGGTGGTGAAACTGATCTGAATTACTTTGTGTCCTTTTTTTCTTTTTAAACACTGACCTGAACTCCTTTGGGTCCTGCCTGACCGTGATGGCGTGTAGATCCACCACATAAATTTTCTATGTATGTTATACATATTTAATCACTTTTTAATAAGTACAAATTGATTTAGTCATGTTAAGTCTCTTACGAAAACCGCTGATATTGTAGTGACGTAGCATCGCTTTTGAAAGGGGGGGGGGTTAAAAAAAAGTCCTTGAAGCTTGGCCCACAGTTTGATGACCCCCAGGTAGTTACCCAGGTGAGGGATACCTGTAGTGCAGGCAGTTAAACATGGTTGTCATTTTCATTCCAGAAGAATCCCAGAATTGCTTCTTTAAACATCGTTGTTTTTAATTAATTGAACTTCCTCATCAAAACTATAGTACACTCTACAAATCAGATAGAACATACCCAAATGATTACAAAAAGTTATTTTTTTTGCTTTTTTACCAAGTTATAAATATTTACAACTAATTTTTAGAGGTCATGCCGTCTTAAATTAACCATTAGGCTGGTGATGGAGCTTCAAGGTGTAATCGTGTTATGATTTGATATACAGATTTTGTAAAGTATTGAAATATTATTCCAATTTAAAAATTAATGACATTTAACTTTGATTAGTTATTGCTTAAGGAATGTAGGATCAATGCACACAATTTTCAACAATATAAGGGTATTTGGTTAGAATAATCTCGGGACAAGCCGATTCTGTAGCTCATTTATCATATAAAAACGAAAGAACATTCTATCTACAAATACTCAAAACTACAGCAGTTGTATTTTATAAAAAATAGAATCGCTTCCTGTCAACTGAATTCTTGGAGAGATAGAGTTGTAAATCTTAATGGTAGTAAAATTAATATATCATCTTTACATTCAATGAAGTTAGAGTGTGATTTTTTGGAAGGAGGGAGGGGGGGGGGGTATGACCCCTAACAAATCACTGCAGTGCAGACATCTGGTGATGTTATACGCGTAAGTATGATACAATCAGAAACTAGGCCTAGATATACTACGGAATCTGTTTTCAAAGTTTCATAATACATCGGCACTGAGTGATCATATGTAACCTTGGTAACTACAGTTGTACCTCTCTGTGTCGCCGCTTGGATGTCATCCTCCTTAGATTTGCAAACCTGGCGCAAAACACATTTCTAAACAGCATTGAGTTTGTCCTGTGTACCAGCGACATGTTGTTTACTTTCCGAACTTGCACGTCAGTGTTATCAAAACGCTTAAGTATGTCGAACATAGATGACAAACATTTCAGTGATGAAGATCATAACTTTCTACTTTCACTTTCAAGAAAGGGAATTTTGAAAAGGTAAATATATCTACATTCATAAAATCTATATATCTCATTAAATAAGACATGTAGGAATATTTTTGCAGATAATGATTCTATTTTTTCACCATAATTTAACTAATTGCAATCGAATCAAAATCTTTACGCTACATCGGTGTCGTTTCTTAAACTCTTTCGTTTGTTTTCACACCTTTGACAATTGACAGAAAAACACTGTAATACGCGCGTAAAATAACATAAAACAATATTGAGTTAACTCAGAAAATAATACGATAATCCAAAGTAAATATATGTAAACAACAGTTTTTAACTCATTGTCATGTAAGCACCATCGGTATATTAAATTTTTTCTGCAGTGGACAAAAATCGCATATTTAAGTCATATTTATGATTGATATTTGCTGATTCCACAAGATAGATAAAGCTCAATCTTTTCAATATCCTCTAATGGCAAAAATATTTTAAGTTCAATGTACATGGTATTGTACAATTTTATTTCTTTTTGTGTTTAATGTAAATACTGAGTTACTGACGCTTTTCATTTTTACCATATTCAGGGGTGATACTGCACAAACCCAAGTCAATATTTTATGCTATATTACATATGTATCATAAGGATAAATGTTAACATATTTGGACACATTTGTTTCAATTCACAGGGCATCCACTGTCAAAATGGCTCGTACAAAAGCTTCAGTCCTAGATCAGGATGACTCAGCTGGGGGAAAATCTTCAGGAAAAAGTAAAACAAACCAGCAAAAGAGGAGGAAAGACAAAGCACAGAGTAATGATTCTGTAAAGAAAAAGAAAATAAAAAAGGTAACATCCAGATTTTTATTTTGATATTGATATTCATTTTGCTATGTCCAAAATATAGGGATGTCACAATTTTAATTTCTCCTTATCTGCAAAAGTGTAAATAAATATGAACAAGTAAATTGATGAATAAAAAACATAAACACTTGTAGAAATAAAACCACATGCTCTGTTAGGAGGTTTATATATTTTTGTTGTAACATGATCTTTAATACAACATTTTTTAAAGTTCAATTTATTTATCAATAAACACTAGAAATAAAATCGTTTTTTTGTTTTTGTTTAAAAAAAAATAATCTAGATAATTGTAATGTAACTCTTTGTTCAATTATATATCAGTCGATTTGATTTTGACCAAGTTCAAGTATTTACGGTTTTTGTATACTTTTCGATCCTAGATTTTATAGTATCACGACGGTATTTTGTACTTTTAGCAAAAAGTTTTTTAAAGCCTTTGCCTTCAACTATTTGTACATGTATTGGCATGTAATCAAACAACCATGTCAACAGTCGCGCGTGTAGTCATCTGTCCCTTTTCCCGAGAATTTATGGCTTCTCGGAGAATTGACAAAATTATCTAGTTTATTTAATCATAACAGACCTTAAACGATGTTCAGTGAAAACAAATAATTAAAGAAAATCAAAAAATAAGGATAGAAGACAGCCCCAGGTAACAGGTGCTTGGTCACGATAATTACTGTATAAACACTGTCACGGGCGATAACGAGTAGAAAACCCTAATTACTGTATGTATAAGTGCAATGAGTATATAACCTTTTAAAACAGATTGATTAATGCATTAATAAATAACCTTAGAAATATTCAAAAATATACATCCGAGTAACCGAGTACCATTTTACCCTCAATGCAATGTGGCTGTCAGCAAGTATAGTCAATCCCTACCAAAATACGAAGCACAGAGAAAAATATTCAAAACAAAATTATCCACTTTCACTTTAACCAAACAATTGATAATAATGACAAATTGTTAAAAGTATTGATCAAAAAAGGTTCTTAAAATATTATCATCATTTTTATGTCAAATATCTGATATAAGAAAAAATACTTTAGAATGAATAACTATATTGTAAAATCTATGTATTATATTTGATAATTACAATACATAATTTGCTACACCAATTGTTTGTATCCTGGTTGTGTTCTACTGTATTTTCATACTTATCACTATGTTTTCTATGGGCCTTACCAATTACTGTAATTGTGTTTGTGCCAATAAAATATTTGTATTTGTATTTGTATATATACATTATTTCTCCTTATCTACAATACACTTAACATATATATAGATCTGTTAATTATATATTTATCATGATCTCCAAGATTTTTCGTCAAACTGAAAATTTATGTTTAAAAGAAGTGATACATGTAATTTTATGATGTTTTCCATTAAGTTTTTTCCCAAGACTAAGAGTAATTTAGAAGTTTGATTACTAAAATATAAACATGATAAAACCATTAAAAAGTTTGATAAAATTTTGTAAATTTTACAGGAGGAGTCCGAGAGTGAGGACAGTGATGAACAGTCCAAGCTACCTCAGTTCTATAAGGGAACAACATGGCCACTGGACGCCAAAGTAGAGGTAAAATATGTGTAAATTCATAATGCCGCGGCAAGAAAGAATGGACGTCTTCATTTGTCATTTCACCTTCAGAACAATGTGGCTGTCAGCAACGATAGTCAATACCATGACTACATTTCACAAGCAATAAGCAATCAAAACCCATATAAATCTTAATTTACCTTTCTAGTCATTCAAACGCTTTTAAAAGAAAGAATAGATTATTCAAGCTTCTATTTGATATTGATTGTTAAACATGTGCCTAGTCCATGATGTCAAAAGATATGTATGCGATTGCGGAGTTAAAAAGAAAAGTGTAGATGAGTAAGACGGAGATTATATCACTATAGATCGGAAGAATGGAGTAACAACAAAAACAATGTTAGTAGTGAAACATGAAAACAGGAGAATTGATTTGTGATAGATATTCAGAGAAAAAATTAAATGAAGTACTGACCTAGTTTAATTTTTTTTTTTTTTTTTTTTTTTGTTATTTATTAATATTTTTCAAAAAAGAGAAGTTTTTGTGGCCTTTGTAAAGATCTACAAATGACCCTCAGAAGCTCTAAGAATGCAGGATTTTGCTCCATTTATTTAAAAATTTTCCAGGGGGCCTAGCCCTCTCCATAGCCTCAGACTATTTTTCCCCTTTACATATAAAAGGGTAGTAAAACAAAATAGCTAGATAAATCCCTGTAAAGTGTAAAAATCATAATACGGTAAACTCGGTTCCTGGGAACCTGTAAATTTAATTCGCTATATCCGTAATTCATTATATCTGTATAACGAATTCGAATAATAATATATAGCAAATTTGCTGTATGCATGTTTTCCTTCAAGTATTACTACCAAATACTTTAGGGGAAAAAATATTTCAAAACATACTATTGTTAACCAAGGTTTCAATAGGAATTGAATTTTATATACAAATGCTGAAATAAAGTTGTTCAATTAATTATATTTTAAGATCTTTGAAAGTTAGTTATAAAAGATGTAAACATTATATTTAACATCAACAGGACTCAAAATTAGTCTGCTATATTCGCAAATTTATTATATCAGAGTTCGCTTTAACCATGAAATTTTTACACAGATTTGTTAAGAATTTTGTCGGGGACCCAGAAAAACTTTGCTATATCTGTGAATTCGCAGTACAGTTAAGGTGCGCAATGGAAATATCGACTAAATTTTGTATTTAAAAATGTATTCGTAATCGGGATGGCGATTATTTTTAGTACATTATTTATATCGGATAATAGTAATTATGATTAACAACTAGATATCGAGGACGATTATATTTTATATTTAGACTAGTCACGTGATGCGGCAGTCACGCGATTTTAGCACATTGACTCGCAGTATTGATGTTACATATAAATATCACTAGTGCAAGGGCATAACCAAGTTAATTTTCCAAGTTAAGCATATAAATATTTTCAACACACATTGTAGTGTCTAAAACGTGCTGCGATCCTGTCTAAATTCTGCAATTTCATTGTTAAAATTATACTTGTATGACCGAATGCTATATTTTTTGCTGGTCAGCGGCATGAAATATTGATGTAATTAAATTGTTTTTAGGATTTCATCAGGATCGCAGCACTTTTCAGATACCTTAATAGTTCTAGAGTTGAAATGTTAAAGCTTACTTTTATTCATAGAGTGTATGCCCTTGCACTAGATCGATTTATTAAGACCCCCCACATTACCTTCCGATGTACTTGCATACAAATATACGGCAGTGTCAATTAAATACGCGATGTACAGAAAATATATTAATAAAATAGTGAAGAAGACATTAAATTCAAGTTATTGACCAATAGAATATCTGTAAATATTATTTTATTTTATTAGAGAATACATATTTTGTTGAGAAAATATTGCTTGATCTGTCTCTCACTGTATACAAACTACGTCACGTTGTAAGAAATGACGTCATATTGACAAGTGTATTGCGATCAGTGACTGGTTTATAACTTGTTATGTGGGATTTAACTATCGACAAAACAGCACGCTATAGTAAGTTTTTATGTAGTTTGATGGTTTGTTACTGGTTAAATTAGCAGATCAACTCATTTTGTGGTATTTTAAAGAAATGTTGTATGACGTATATTGTGTATGATGTCATAGTCAAGTTTTCCCGTACAAATTAGGCTCCGCCTCCTTTTTGTAACCTTAACTGTGCTGCGTTTGCTATATCCGTGTTCGTATTAAACAAGTTTTACTGTTATTCACAACACAAAAATATGGATCAATGAAAATAAAAACAGAATTTACAGCAAAACAGTTCAGTACACAGGCCAGTTAAATTAAGATTTTACTGTATTGCATTAACAGGTCCATGTGGATTATGAGGAAGTGAAAGAAGTCCGTAAAATCAAGCCTCCGTTTCTCCCGCTGTTATATCAGCTGACCCGTGGAGAACCAGAGAATATCGCCAAGGCCGTCAACGCAATACCGCCTGTTCACCAACTTCTCAAAGAAAGGTACTGTGTTAGAGGAGCCCAACTTTTACTTTCTTATAAAATGTTTATTGCTTATATATGATAAATAATAGCAGGACGATAGTGATTCAGGTCACTGGTGAGCGTAGTGGTCCATGGCTCTTCTTTTCTCTCTGATGAGGGAGAATAGTGTAATATATTATCTAGTTGATGCATAAAAATCCTAATTTTAGATTTGAAAAAGAAAATAAACCAGAAGTGAAGCAAGAAGCGGTGCAAGATAAGCATGATAAGAAACCCCTGGTGGTGAACCCTAAAAAAGTGGATATGGCAACGCTAAAGAAAATCCCCAGTCAACATTTCCGAGATGCGAAAGGCAAATGGCTGCCAAAGAAAAGGTGGAAATTTGCTGAGATCCTGAAGAACAAACCAAAGCTGCAGCACCTGCTCTCTGAGAGAACGGCAAACTCGGATGGAAATCGAGCAGCTAACAAGGGGCATCAAGGGACTGCAAAGAAGCTTACACGTACTTATTGTTTTTTTGTAATATATAATTTCTATAAAGTGCTCAATTGAGCCAAATGCTCTCAATTTACCCATTTCTTTTATGATTTTAGACTAAATGACAAATCTTTAAATTATAAAATTATCATTTGCATAACCTTGATAAATGTTGTAACAGAAAACAGGGTAGAATTTACATGAAACATACTCAATGTAAGATCATACTCAAAGGACATATTTTAACCCTTAAGTTTCTTGTTCAAATTAATATATTTGTTAAGTTTTTGATTTTTTTTTCATAATCATGTTAACGTTATATTTCATTCAGTGCTTGCTGAAGCTAGGTCAGCCATTGAGGAAGTTTTAGCCAGGGTCTGTATGCGCCGTCAAGAGTTTGCCAAACTAATTGTATGGTTAAGGAGTCTGGAAATGAAATCCTACGGAAAATCCAATACCCTGAAATCTGGTAATATTTATCAACTTGAATATACCACATAAGTCGAAATTGTCAAAGTGAATTGGAAGTGCCAATCATTTATCCACATTTTATTTGATGAAAATAATTAACCCTCAGTATCTCTAATACTGGGATGCATCCTGTCCAATCTACTTTTAGTTAGGCATGATAATGATTAATTTTATCTAGTAAATTAAACTCGTGCCTTTATGTCTACTTATGTTATTTCAGATCTTTTACATGTGTTTTTTTTCTCTTCAGTGACACCATGGAGAAAGAAAAACAGATCCAGTCCCAGAAGTAAACCTAAAGATGTGCCAAAGGCTGCTGTTGAAGTAGTGCCTAGTGTTGAGGTACAAGAGGCTGATTCAAGTTCAGATGATGATGATGATGCCAATGTGCCAGTCAAAAAAGCTATGTATGGCCTAGAAAAGAGTGCAATTATCCGCAATGCACGCCTCAGAAACAAACCCAAGTATATGCCATACATTCCTCCTAAAATCAAGGAGCCAGCAAAAGTGACATCAAAAACAATACAGGAAAATGTGGTTTCTGCTCAACATTCTGGGTCAACAAAGAGCTTACCTCAGCAATCTGATTCATCAAAAAGTTTAACTCCACAAACAGGGTCTACAAAAGGTTATAGTGTTTTGTTCAAAGGTAGGATGTTCTCATCAGGAAAGAAAATCTTTCTCAATAGAAGACAAAATGTGGAAAGTGAAAGTGATTCAGAGGATGATGAAGAAGAAAATATCAGGTCTTCCACCAGCTCAAAAAAATCACAGGAAAGTAGACAATCAAAGAGTGGACTTGAGTCCACTGATAATCCAAATCCAGGTAAGGAAAAGTCCAAGGCACAGCAAAAAATCAAAAAGTCAACGCCATCAACATCAAAACTGCAGGAAAGCTCATCCAGCTCCGAATCTGAAGAGAGTGCTGCAATAGAAAATATTAGGACTCTTAAATCTTCTAGTGCACTCTTTCCACAAGTTAGGATTCCATTCATCAAGCTAACTGATGCAGTAAAATTGACCAACTCAGAAAAAAGAACTTGTTCTTCAGCTTCCTCCACAGAAAATGTAAGCAAACTAAAAAGAACAATTTACAAGGAGGGGAGAGAGTTAAATGATAAACCTGTCAGGAAGAAAGCAAAGATTCAGATGGTGACCTGGAAAGACGATGCAGAAAAATTGAAAGACAATGAGAATAACAATGGAGGGCCTGAAGAGAAAGGAGAAATGGCTGGGAGGCAGAGTGAAGCGGGAGTGAGGGAACGTTCAACATCCAAGTCTCCTCTGTCTGCTGGGGAGGATGTTAGTAGGGAGGAATTTTCTCCTCCAGAGGTTCGAATTGAAAATTTAGAGGGAGAGGACTTGAGGACCAGTGGTGAGGACAACAATACAGAAGATCTTGAAGCTTTTGGTGATGAGAACAGAGGTTCTTCTTCAATATCCCCAATCTTGGACAGAAGGACTAATGCTGAGGACAATAATACAGATTGTCTAGGAACTTTTGGTGGTGAGGACAGAGGACCTTGTGCTTCCTCACTTTCCCCAATCAAGGACACAAGTAGAAATACTGAGGACAATATTACTGAGGATCTGGAAGATTTTGGTGATGAGAACCAAGGTGCTTCCTCACTATTCAAAATCACGGACGTGAGGACCGATGCTGAGAATATTGATACGGAGGATCTAGGAGCTCATGAGGGTGAGGAGGGAGCAGATGTTTCCTCAGATTCCCCAGTCATAGAAAGCACTGTCACTCAGAGTAGTAGTGAAGAGAGGGAAAATGATTCCTCCATTACAGAGAGGGGGGATAACTCCTCCAATATAGAGAGGGGGAATAGTTCCATAAACTTTGAAAGTGAGAATAACTGCTCCAGCACTACAGAAAGGGGGAATACATTTAGCTCTTCTTTTGTAGACATTGGAAATAACTCTTCCAATACAGAGAGGGGAACTAACTCTTCCACTACAGAGAAGGGAGATAGCTCTTCTAGCCTAGAAAAGGGGAATAACTCTTCCATTACACAAAGGGGAAATAGCTCTACTAACAGAGAGATGGGGGATAACTCTACCAATATAGAAAGGGGGAATAATATTGAGAGGGGAAAAAATTCCACAAGCCTAGAGAGTGTTAATGACTCCTCCATTCCGGAGAGGGGAAATAGCTCTTCTAACATAGAAATAGGGGATAAATCTTCCAATGCTGAGAGGCCGTCTACTTCATCTAATAACCCACAAACACCAAACACAGAGGAAACCCTGCGTCTGCTGATCAGTCATTTGTCAAACTTGCGAGATTCCCAGGGGAAAGCTGTTGATTGTAAGATATTATTCTCCAGTGCAAACCAAGTTTTAACTATCTCTGGGAGTAAAAATATTTCATTAGAGGAAAGCATAGATAAAAAGCCAATCATTGTTGAGGGAGAGACGTCAGGGAATTCTGTAGCCTCTACTTCAGATCGGGTCAACAGAGTCAGTCCAGATACATCCAATCAGATGGACAATCCCCAGAGTTCAGAGGTCAACGTTCCTGGCATAGTGGAGATTGTAGAGAGTGATGATAGCAATTTGGAATTCGTTTCCTCAGAAACCATGGCAACGGTGAAGCAAGAGAGGGCGGAGCCTGAAGGAGAGGAGGCGGAGCTAAGAAACCAAAAAGAGGCTGAGGCAGTGATCATAATCGATGATTAATTATAGCAGTATATTAATGGACTTCTTATGACCTTCAAATGATTGCAATAGAGATATAGTCACAAGTTTTCTGGAATAGAAGCATGAATTTGGGCAGCACCAAGGGAGAAGTGAGAAGGGTAATTCTAAGAGATATGGGAAGGTTTGTACAGTCAGAAACAATATGTGTTGTGTGGTTGACTCTGAAAGAATGAAGGAAGAAAATAAATATTTTCGATATAGATTAATTGTATTAATCGGTTGTGTTTTAGGTTGTTAATATCATGTAGTTGGCATTTTTTATTTGTTTGCTTGTTTGTTAATGTTTTTAATCATTTACTTGCATGGGATATTATGTGTAAATATAATTTTAACATCATTACCAGGGTAATTTTGTTTTCATAGAATTTTGTAGATGAACTGGGTTTGAAGTTTTCGATTTTGTATGAGTTTTTTATGAAGCATTGTATCAAAATTTTTACACACCTTTCAGAGATTGTTTTTATTTCTTTTGATCCAGTGTTACTAGTATTATGAACAATTACATGTAGTTGTCAATAGGTTTCTTGTGTGAAGAAATAAGCCTTAATTTTCAAATACCAGGAGGAAAAACTGATTAACAATATACCGTAAATCTGGAAATTTTTATGTCGATTTTATTTTGCAAATCTGTAAACTTTATTTTTAAAACAAGTTTACATTTTCTTATTGTTGAGTTATTTTTAAAAATTGCAAAAAAATTATATAAAAAAATTTTCTGAGGTAAACTTTTTAAAAAATGGTAATATGAAAAAGTTGTAAAGACTGAAAGAGGGCATTTCTTGATTGAATTTTGCATAATTTATTTGTTTACTATGAACAGTTTGTGATTAAATAAAAAATATATATATACTGTTTATTATGAACTGTTTGTGATTAAATAAAATATATATATTATACTGCATATTAGGCATTTAATACCATGAATTTATTAAAATTATATTATTATCTGAATATTAATATATATTAGAATATAATTGGATTTTGTGATTAATATTTGATAATTTTTTTTTAAATTGGATTATTCTCCAATTAAGTTCTGATTATTATTCATAAAATAATTATCAAATAATTTCTGATTATTTGCTTATTCCTATACTGTATACAGGGAAATTTTTGTCCCCTTTTATTTTTGCCTCTTTGGCCCTATAATCACAGATGGGCAAATTGAAATGAGGGTGAATTCAAAGAAAACAGTATGAATTTTTAAACTGAACTGTGACTTGGGGAATTTGTAATGGGGCAAAATTGTTCCCAAGTGCAAAAGAGTGAAAATAAAACAGGCAAAAATATCCCTGTTTACAGTAATTCTTTGATATCAACAAGCTGGTACATGTAATAACAAAATGTAATGTAATACATAATGGGGTTATACTGTAGTTTCTATTACTGTAATTGGTACCGTGCCTTTTTAAATGTTTTTAGTTACTAAGTCTTGCCTATTGAAAAGCAATTTCATAAAATATTTGCAATAAAACCTGCATAATGCTTTTTGTAAAATGCTGAATATGCTGTAGAAAGAAAGTTGATTGATTTGGTTGTATGCATGTATTAAGCCTATTTTATCATTCCTGTGAAAGAAATCCTCAATTTTCAATTTTCTGAGAATTGTTCATCAGCCATTCCATGTACATATAGCACTTATACTTAATTTACTGGGGAGCGAGAAATGTTTATAAAAAGGGCATTACTGTAATGACATTCTTCCTCTTTATTTCTTCCAAAGAAAAAAAATATAGAAATTTTGTGCATAATTATATTATTATATATTTCTGTTTAACAACAATCATGAATTTTTTTTTTAGTTAGGCCATATGATATATGATTCAAACTGCATGTACTTGTTACACATATATTTGTTTTAATTGGGACATTTTAAGCAAACCCGAATTATTAAGTTTTTTGTAGCTTTTAGTTTTGTTTTATTGTTACAATACACGATTATAATAAATCAATTATGGACTTGCAAGCTTTTAATCCCCCCAAAATTACTACTATCCAGGCAAGAGTTATGCGCCCTATATTTAATGTTATTTTCATTAAGAATTCCAAACCCAGTAGCCCAAAATTTGATTGATTGATTGTATATTGCTTAACGTCCGTCTCGATAAAATTCACTCATATGGAGACACCACCACTTGCCTGTGGAGAGCTGCAAATTTTGTCCTATACTCGGCACTGAGGAATGAGCAGGGAAGGATCTTTTTCATGCCAGCACCTTCTACAACACAGGACCTTGGTTTATACGGTCTCATCCGAAGGACCGGTCTTCCTTGTCCCACAGTGAAATTTGAACCCGCATTGTAAGGATCAGCGACTCTAGAGCAGGCGCTTTAATCACTGCATCATGCAGGCGACCCCAAAATAAGAAAATAATGCTTTCCCCTAGCTCATACAACTTTTTTTAGTTTTTTCACCTGCACATTATTTGTGCATTTTAAAGTTTACTGATACATTGTAATTTAAAAAATCTACAATTAGTTTGATGTGTAGAAGGAAAGGAGAAAATTTATGGCTTATCTGATTATCTGTCTTCGCCCTCAAAGACACAACCCAGAACAAAGTTCTATTAGCCCCTAGTCATAAGATATCAGTCTAATATATTTGTCTTTGACCATAACATCCATTTTTTTGACTTTTGGGGAGAATTTCTCCACTTTCTAGCATTGGTCAGTCAACTATCTTTCACTCCCTAATTCTAGGCACATTTTTTAGCTCTGTATATTTTATCCATCTCCAAACCCTTTATAGTCGTCTCTACAAGTGATAAACTCGCTTGATTAAAATTATGTTAGATAGCTGAAAATTCACAAAGATGTGTTATATACTGATATATTTGACTATGAATGCTAGAAAGTGGAGAAATTCTCCCCAAAAGTGCACAAAAAATCTTGCATCGTAAATTGCACCTGTATTATGAAGAAAAGAATATATAAAACATTAAAACTAGAAATTAAATTCTGTATCGGCAAAAAAAAAATATCTTCCCATTTAAAAAAAAACAAGAGACATATTTCTACCTTATGACTTTATTCATCTTCTCCTGAACAACTAATAAAAGCAAAAATATTAATATTGTTTCATTGCAAACAAAAAACTACATGACTCTCTCCTGACTAAAAACAGATTCAACAACAGAAGATAAATATTATACACGGATTATCACAGTCTTAACAGAACACAATGCCTACTGACAGACAAACAAACAAAGGTGAAAAACGAGAAAAAAGCGATCTTGCTTAAAATTGTTTTTCATAATTAATGTACAAGGTTGTATGATCATTTAAAAATGTTAAGAAAAACATAAATAATATTGACATATAATTTGGGTATTAACCAATCCATATGAGCATACAATAAATTTATAGATAATTCCAGAAAAGTACTGGTAAGTCAAGAATTTTCAAATAACATACAAAATATCTTGATTTTTTCAAAGAATATAGAAAAATATCATTACACTGTAAATGGTGGTCTCTTATACCCAGGAGAGAAAAAAGGAAACATCAAAAAAAACTTAGATTTTTATCAGAAAGAAGCTAATAAAATATATAAATTGGCTTGCATTTCTAAAACCCTCTTCCCAAAGTAGAAACATAACACAGTGTTTATGAATACTTGATTTTTATACATCTCTGCCTATCAATATAGGTAACAAACAATTTGCAAATGACATCATTATTAGTGTTTGAGCAACAAGTATATAATCAAGATAACATGTACAATAATACTGAAAATTTACTATTGTATTTTAATACTTCCCTTAGCTATTAGAGAAAAAATAAAACTAATCCATTGACCGAAATACTAGTATGAAGATACTGCAAAGAAAGCTGAATAAGAGTTATTCCCCTTTAAATGCTGCCTCCATCCATTCTGACTTTGGAAGTGCATGTTGTATATTCTTTTCTATTTAATAGGGGGAAGAAAATCATAAACAGCTATAGATTTTTATTCAGCTGCTAGCTAGCTGTTTTCATATATTTGTTTTTTTTTTATATTTTGCAAGAAATTTGTGATTACCTGTAATTAAAATAGAAGCAGTGGTGAAGAATTTGGAAAAAAAATAATAATGATAAATTCAGTCTAAAGAAATATGAGTTGAATTAATATCTGTCTATATAAAAAAGAGACAAATGAATTAAATTCATTACCTATAGACTAGCTCATTGCAAATACATGTATTTCAAAAAAATTAAACTAATTGTACAATAAAAAAAATGTACTTATAATTATTAATAAACCCACCTATTCCATTTTTCTACGTGTACAAAACTTTGAGAAAAAATCCTGCATTATATCAATCAGCGAATCTAAATCTAGAAGCATTTTTAGTTTACAAATATCTTTATACACATTCAATATTTAGTTGATGTGAAATTGACACCATGACAACAAATTCAAAATCTGATTGTGTAGGTAATTTGGTGAAGGTGAAATTCACATACATGTACATGTACTAATTTTTTTCAATATAAAATCCAATACAGAAACACAGTGGTAAATGTCTTATTTTAAGTGAAAATATATAAAGCCAAGTTTATATTGCATGAAATATTTTTCAGACTTTTTAGAAATTTTAAAAATTATAATTTAAATTCTGAATTGGAATAATATTACATAATTAGTTGTTTAAAAAATCTCTAAAAATTCTAGATTTGACAAAACAAGCATGTTTAACATTTTCTTAGCCGTCACATGAAAAAACAAAGTCTATAATTTGATTTCATTATTTTGATGTACCTGAAAATTCGAAGTCTTATGGAATTTTTAAAGTAAACATTTGATTACAGTGTTTGAGTGATAGTATTAAAATCACCCCTTTTTTTTCTGCTAATAACCCCCAAATAGACCAAGCTTAGCACATAAGCATAATTTAGTACATAAAAGTGATGTACATAACAAATTTATTACATAAAATAACTATAAAAGTACAATGCTTCAGTCTTTTTTGTCAATGAATTTTTGTATAGTCAAGTAAAAATTTAAAAAGTAGAATTTCTAGGAAACAATTTACAATGGATTTTGTATTTCTAAATTGATTCAAATTTAATTTTAAAAATCCTATGATTTTATGATAATTAATTTTCTAATTAATTAATCACATGCCCTCTCACGGCAGTACCTGTGACCGTAGTAACGCAAGATGCTGGTCAGACACTTTGATCCTCACGTCCTTTCGCTGTTGCCCCTCGGCCTCTAACTTCTGGAAGTGTTCGATGCGGTTGATTTTAGCGTTGCGGATTCTCTCCCCTTGTACCTGATTCTCGGCCTCCTCCTGCTGCAGTCGACTGTGAACGTTATCCCAACGCTGCTGAGACCTCTGGATTCTCGCTTCCTGTACAAGAAAAAAAAATTACTGATTTTCTGTCAATTTATTTTAAAAATTTCTTATTTTTTTTCAAATGATTTGTTTCTTTTGTACTTGCATTCACACAAATTTGAATTGCATTGATAGCAATTTTTTTTCTACAAGTCAAATTACTTGGTCATGCCTTTCATGAAGTACTTAGGCATTTCTATAACTATACAAATAATTTTTTTAAGCATATGACTTAGATTACTTTTCTTAGTCACCTCAATTTGACCGAATCATTTCTCAAAGCAGGACTTTAATATGTGGTGTT